TAGTGAAACGATTGCCCAAACCAGGATTCGGTGACACTGTATGACAAGATAACACAGTTGTCCTAACCAGTCACGTGAATTCACTATGATTGGTGAATATATGCAACACGCTTTACTACAACAACACCAACATCAGCAACAACAAGAACCCATCCCATCGTCGTATCATACGACAAACAATATCCCAATCACCGGTTCGCAGAATCACTTAAACCTATCCTGTCCCAGTTCATCACCAATCTCAGTGCATGCAATTCCCGGTTCCGGACTGTCCACAACTGCTGTTGTATCAGTAAACAATAATAATAATAATAATAATAGTAATCATTCACGGATTCCATCTTGTACAGGTGAAAACAATTCCGGTTGTGTGACAACCACATGTACAGCCTTGAACTCACGCTACTCACGTGACACAAATTTGTCCAGTACTTTGATCACCCCATCCCGTTCGTTCTCCGCCAATTGTTACGCACCGTATCTGACCCCGGATTATCATGACCCGTCAGCACATTTGGTGGTGGATCACGGATTTGTTTACAAATCGAATCGTCCCGATGAGGACGGTCCAATCTCCGAGCTGTTATCTTTTCCTAATCGGGATAGTACACCTCCGTACACGTCAAACTCCACCCGATCCACAACTCAGTCCGGACCGTCGACACTGGCTGATCAGTATGGACAATTTCACACGGTTGGGAATCCGTTTCAAACCTTGGTGAATCAATTGGTCGCAACTCGGGATGGACACAATTATGGCTTATCCCCAGTGCATTTGGGAACAGATGTGAAAGAAGCACACCGGATTGGTAGTTTCCCGGGAATCGAATATGATCCCGTAGAGACTCAGAGAAAGACAATCTATACGGATTCCGTCAATTTTGTCCCCGATAGTGTTTCAATCCCGTACGATGTGAATTCGTCCATGTATTCCACTCCGAAGGATCGTCGTTCAGTAGTGTATGTGGAACCGTCAATAACNACAACAACAACAACAACAACAACAACAACAAACCCATAATCCATCTATGGTTTATACAAAAGGGCTACCATATTCGATTCAGTTCGATCAGTCTGTTGGACCAGAAAGTACCAATTTAGTCTACGGTCGCCGTGATGAACTATCGACTTGGAACAAAATACAGTCAGAAGAATGTCATCCCGTTTCGGGGGAACTGACAATCAAAGGATCTCAACAAAACCCAATCGAAACACGACTGTACCCGGATTCTCCTAATTTATCGTCTAACATGTATTCCCGTGCCGAAACCGTAGGTGTCATCCACAGTACCCCGATCAATGCGTTTCTGATTAACGCCTCGACCGTGGCCACTAGTAACACCACAAACAGCATCGGCACGTCAGTATCGACAAAAGCAACCACATTAACAACAACAACCGAAACAATACTAACTGGAACTGATTGTCGGGGTAACAAGATGTCCGGTTATCTGGAAAAATCACGATCCCTGTTAGACAGTTCATCCACCTCGTCCGCCGCTTCCCGTGGTTCCAGTGCTCTAGGGGAATCATTGACCAGATCAAGTGACTCTTCGTCCGGACCGATCGGGGATGCGATACCCGGTCGCTTTCTACTCAATTCCACATTCACAATGACACCGGATAATAGTACCGTGGATTCCAATCCGACCGCATTGCACGGGCTGACCAGCGCAAACCGGACGGAACTGCGTGATTCGCAACCGGACTCTGCGGATTTTCCCAGCTCCGTCGGGAACACGACGAATAACAATGGGACGTATCTGAATTCGACCGAATCCGGTCCCTCGGTTCTACACGAGTCGAATTCCACAACGGAATGTGTAAATGTATACCAGAAGACGACCGGGCCCCGGCAAACAAGCACGACTAAACGTGGTCGTACTCAATCCATGCTCACCAGTCCGACCATGCAGCAGAGAACGAGAACCGATATGCTTCTGACCGATCGTCCGTCCGGTCGAAAGCGTGGACGTGTGCAACGCGGACCCGGGCATCTGATCTCGTTCGCAGAGAATGGTCTACTACACAGTGTGGATTCCGATCAAATGGACACGCAGTCCGGGAAATCGTACAGTGAGAAACGATCGAACACAACGCAATCGATCAGTCCCAGTGATGATGACTCAGACAGTCTGGGTGACAGTGATTCGGATCCGGACGGGGAACAAAATAAAGTGAGTTTTCGGGGCAGATTCCTTTTCGTTTTTTGGTTTTTATTTGATGCTGTTTACAATATTCTTACCAGTAAACATATTAGGATATAGTATTAATATTATACTAATTCTCAATCATCATTTATCTCATCAATCACCGATTTTGTTACCATGACTAAGTTGATTTGATCTGCCTGTCTGGATTAGATCGAAGTAGCCATCCAGAAGCATTGGACAGCGTTTTCGGCTTTGATGAAACTCAATGGTTGTGGTGTGTGTGTGTGTGTGTGTGCGTGTGTGTATGTGTGTGCATATAGGTGCAGGCTGAATGCCAAAAAATCATAACACAATGAAAAGTATCAGTTCCACGATTTGCATGTGGATGGAATACTGCCAAATAGTCCAGGCCAAAGTAGGTGAATGGTTCTTGGGGGACTGACGGGTGGTGTGTGAAAACCGCAATCAAATTTTGGGACCGGTGTTCAGTTCATCAAGTCATACGCTCTTTGGACGGGATCATCTGTCCCCGGCGTCCAATACACCTTGATTCCCAATCGAGCCGGTGACCACGGCCACACCGAGGAGGATGTGGTTGAGTGTAGTTCGTACGTCACTTCTTGGTTGGTTTGGAATCAGAGCTTTCGGTCAACTCCCCTAGGTGAACTACTATCAGTGGTCTACCGAACCCGGTTATAGTCTCTCGGATGTCGGCTATTCGTTCTGTCACTTTGGTGAGTGGGAAAACAATTCCGCGCCACGGGGAAGCAGTGAGCAGGAATTCCTCAGCAGAATTGATTGTTTGAGAAGCTCGATTGTGTGTAGGCGCATTTCGCCAGGGAAGGATGAACAGCCACAATGCGACACACCCACATCCAAACATCCTGGAACTTTCTGAGGCTGGAACACACCAAACTGACACACCCTTATTTATCTTCGTGATAAATACTCATACGATAGTGGGTTTCACTATAATGTGAATCGATTTGTTTATTCCTCCGATTAGACAATCAGACTTAATTGATGATAAATAAAGATTAACAAAAGGAGCTATGTATTGGTACAGGCAAGTCCTCCCAAACCTGTCAACTACCTTGAACGAAATAGTATGGCACCAAAGTTTGGTCTATTGGTTCTTGATAATGCTCGAGAGGTCATCCAATCCTCAGTCAATGAGTGCTGTCAGACTTCTGTCTCCCGTCAGTGCACACATTTTATTTTGACATGGGACTTAGACTAGTGACTACACGTTTTCCCATCAAGCTTTACACAAAACCCGCCTCGACCATTAGTCCTCTAGTCTTTAACCGTTCCGTATCTCCACGTAAAGTGAAATCCACTCGTGAGATGTGAATATATTAAAAGTCCAAGGATGATAAACACTGTTCACAACAAATACATCCCCTTTTCCCATCCAGTTTTGTACAAAACCGCGTAATTCTTATGTCAAATTTTGCAGTAATGCGGGTGAATCTATTGTGAATGATGATTAGTTATTCCTCAGTCCGTGAATGTATCCACGTGTTAAGACACGGTAAGCATTCATATTCGGTGTGTTTTTCCCGTTTCGATTTATTTCAGGGCTTGGGAATACAAAGTAATGTATTGTTTGTGTTACTTTTACGATTTTTATTCACCGGAGTATTGCATATAATACGGAAACACTGAAGCTGTGCACGAGGTGTGTATTTGTAGGAAATATGGTGGATTTTTCAACAGTCGTTGATCTCAGCCTATTCCGATAAAGTTTTGATCTGATTCGTCTAATGTTGCGTGACTGAATTTTTGTACGTCTAGGCTAAAGGGTTGTGTGTGTGTGTGTTTTGGCTGAAGTTTGATGGGAAAAGTTGTATAAATACAGTTTTCATTAATTTTGGCGCGTAATTTTATGATCATTGAATTCAAACATGTATCCACGGCTTGGGGACACATTTCATATAACCACATTCACAATGTAATGTTAGATTCCGATGCATCGTTTCGCACAGATGATACAACAAGTCCCGTGTAGGCGAAAAGCTTCTGATAAGGTTATCACATCCATCCCATCCCACCCCAACCCTACCCCTCAGCTTACCCACTCACTCGTCACTTAAGTGAATCAGTGTCCGCAGCACCCTCAACTGCACCCCCCCCCCAAGCTCGACGATAGACGAATGGGCACATATACGCACGTGACTTGTTCCCGCTCCGCCACATTTCTGTCTTGGTCCGAGAAACCCTTCATGCATTCAATCCACCTGCTGAGACTATAGCACTCAACAATCGTACTTCTCTCGGATGCCTAGGAGGAAATGGCAAGGCTGGGTGAGGGGACAATTACCTCAATTCGGAATTCCCGCTGTGTGGAG